TCTGGTTAGCAGGCAAGTGCTTTAGCCACTATGCTAACAGAGATCCCATCTTTAGCAGAGACCAATAATATAACTCTATCTTAATCATTTCATCAACTCTTCAAATTTAATATAAGTTAAATTTAGTTTGAAAAAAGATAATCATTCATAAAAATTTTTCCACTTAAGTAAATTTCACTTATGAAAAAGGTCTCTCCCTCCAGCAGCAGGTTTTATAGGGAGTTTTTGGGATCTCTGCTGGCATAGTGGTTAAGACATTCAGCTGCTAACTGAAAGGTTGGTGATTTGAAACCATCAGCCTCTCAGTGTGAGAAAGATGAGGCAATTTCCTTCCATAAAGATTTACGACCTTGGAAACCTTATGAGGCAATAGGGTCCTATATGGTCGCTAAGAATCAGAATCGACTTATGGCAGTGCGTTTTGGTTTTTTGTTTTTTAAAGCACAGTACGTCAAAATGAAAATCTCTTCTGTGGTTCTATAATATCTCCCCTTCTAGTATGTAAATATGTATCAGGGACATTCTCCATTCTTTTTTGTTTTATACATATCTTCTTGCAAAAATACGTAAATGACTGAGCTTCTCTGTTCTAGTGAACATTTATTTACATGTTTCACGTGCTGTTTCCAGTCTGGTTCCTTCATCGCAGCTTCAGCTCACGTCAACTTTCCTCAACAGTTCACTGATCAGTAATTTATTTCCAGGCAATTATCAATGGAATGTTATAATCAAAGTCAGACTTGGCATTATACATAGTTTAATTTAAAATAAAAAATCATTATAAAGAATGATTAATAAATGATAAAAAGATTGATATTATTTCTTAAATAATTTACTCAATTAACTGTTCTTAACACCAAAATACTTGTGTAATCTAGAATGTTCATAATTTTGAAAACTTATTTTCTTTATTTTATGTATACAGATATTAACATATACACACACGTGCATAAATCAGTGTATGACAGAATACTGTAGGAATTTCAAAGCCAAAACGTGTCCAAGAGCTCATCTCATCATATTTATAGAAAGATTATCAAATATTCTCATTAAATCAGTCTTATTCTGTTTAGGAAACCCAGATTTCCACACTAGATGTGGATATGAGGGTTTCATCTATATAAACTAATATTTTGGTTATTTCATATTTTCTTTTTCTAAAACATTTTCAATAAATGTTACTTTATCTAGGAAAACATCAAAATACTCTTCTTACATGCTTGCTTTTCTTGAAAGTGCTAGGTATCAAAATGAGTATCAGATAGTACTTTACACTGTTCAGAAATTTTACTGCTTTACTTAAGAAATTGAATGAGCTTTTTTGAGTCATAATCAGGCAATATTTAGTAGTCTTGTCAATAGAAGGAAGACATTAGAATTTGAAGTTGTCATTTGTAATCTTAGAGCATTAGTAAGCAAACAGTTCAGTGTTGAATGGGACAAGTGTTTTCCAATATAGAACAAGTAATAAGGTTTTTGTCAATAGTATCTGCAATTGATTCAGTCTACACTTGGTTACCTTGGTTTCACTAATTACAGTAATTTGTTCTGGGTTTATCTAAGGTGGTAAATGATAAGTGGTTTGTAGTAATATGGAGTACTAGAGAGTCATTGAGAAATACCTTTTAAGAAGTGATTTCCTAGGAACGTAGAAGAACATGCGGTTTTCTACTCATAAATATTCCATTCTTGTTTTGTACTGGTTTATCAATGTTTATGCCATGTTTCTGTTGAGTTTCACTTCATATTTCATGTCCAGATTGCCTAATCTAAATATAATTGCTAGCACTTGGCATATTTTTGACTCTAAGGAAAAGAAAATGTCAGATGATTATCATTATAGATTATTGTTTGTGAAGGTTATACACTGAGTTTTTTCTTGTTTTGAACTTCACAAGGGATTTTTTTAATATTCATTCTTCTACTCATGACTTCCTAGTTATTTAAATAATTGACCTTGAATATTTCTTCTGAAAACCTTGAGTAGGTTAGAAACATAATCTCTTTTCTTTGACAGAAGAGTCTTACCCTTGGCATTTTCAGATCCTTTTCTCTCTTTTTTTAAAGTGATTAATAAGACAGTACAGAAATTTTTGGTTTCTGTCAGGTTAAGACAAGAAAGATTTGTTAAGGCACCTTCCTCCATCACTCCTTATGCTATCTGGAATCTTTCACCTCTAAGCAACTGGTCGTGTTGCTAAAGTCTACATCTGTAGTTTCCTTCTTTTTTCTCCTAAAAGGTATGGATCTTTTCTCCAACTGTACTGAGGAATGTAAGGCACTGGGCCACTCAGATCGGTGCTGGATGCCTTCTTTTGTTCCTTCTGATGGACGTCAGGCTGCCGATTACCGCAGTAATCTGCATGTTCCCGGCATGGACTCTGTTCCAGACACTGAGGTGTTTGAAACTCCAGAAGCCCAGCCTGGGGCAGAGCGGTCTTTCTCCACATTTGGCAAAGAGAAGGCCCTTCACAGCACTCTGGAGAGGAAAGATCTGGATGGACTGCTGTCTAATACACGAGCGCCTTACAAACCACCATATTTGAGTAAGTATTACACAAAAGGCTGTATGAAAGTGTTCCCTTCAAGGAAATAAAGCTCAATACTCCATTCTAAGTCAAAATAGAGTTCAGGTTGTTTTCAAAAACAATAGATAAAAGTGACTTGAATTCAGGCAGCACTTAAGTGTGGAACAATGATTATACTTAATAAGAAGATAAGTTCCCAGTGTGTTAGGTCATCACTGTTAGCAACAATAGAATATAACTTGCTTTTGTTGAGAAACATTTTTCAAATGATCTTCATATTTTATTCTAACACTGCTATCTTGCTTGCTTGATTTTCATATGTTTTGAAGGGCTAAATTAAGGCAGAAGAACTTATCTCTTGACACTTGAGTTAGAGACAGAATATTTTTTCATGATATCAGCGTTATTGTCTACTCATGCTTTTACCATAGCGATATTTAACACATTAGCATGAATCCAGAAAACAATACAGACATCATTTTGACCATTTAAAATGAGTTAGTAATATGTTGCTATTTAAGTCCATCAGTATTAGAGGATCTGTGTGATAGAAAAACATAAATATGAGAATATTCTTTTTTTATTTAAAATAATAGGTTCTTGTAATATAGAAATGTGTCCTGGTGGTGTAGTTGCTAAAGTGCTCAGTTGCAAACGGAAAGGTGGGTGATTCAAACCTACCCAGAAGCTCTGTCAGAGAAAGATGTGGCGATCTGCTTCTGTAAACATTACAGCCTTGGCATACGGCACTTGTCCTCTGTTCTGTAGGATCACTATAAGTTAGAATCCATTCAGCATCAATGGGTTCTATCATACATAGAGGCAGGCCCTGGGAAGTACAAAGGATTAACATGCCTAATTGCTTACCACAAGGTTGGCTGTTCAAGTCCACCCAGAGGTAACTTGAAAGAAAAGCCTGGTGATCTACTTCCGAAAAATCAGCAATTGAAAACCTTGTGGAACATGGTTTTACTCTGACACACATGGGATTGCCATGAGTTAGAATTGACTCCATAGCAAGTGAAAGATATTGATAATAGCTTTCAGTTCTTTCAACATTGGGACCCTATTCTTGGAGAATTATTTTATGCAATCACTGTAAACAATAAAAACTATTTTAAATTCAGTAATATATTTCTTTTGAGGATCATGGTAATGGAATTATTCCATTTATGTTCTGTTATATAGGAATACTTTCCTTTCAGTTAGGTGAGAATTCAGCATCTTGGTCAAGCCACATAAACTATTATGTGATGAAAATTAAACTCATAGCAACTCAAACAAATGCTAACTTTTGTGCAGAAAATTCATTGTACTTTTTTTTTATTTTTTAACTGTCATCATCTAATGCAAAAATTCACGAGACCATCAGCTAAAAAGATGAGATACTCTAGCTGTATCATTTCTTTTATGACTGCTGAAGTGGGAGGAAAAATTGCTTAAAGAAAAACACTAGAATAATATATGTTTTAGTTATTATGATTATACTGTATGAAAGGCATGAATTGAATGCTAATCTGGATTTAAGAACCCAACAATAATTGTGCTTTCCTATAAATCATTGATTTTTGTTTCTTTAATTTTTAAAGTCATAATATAAAAGAGACCATAAATGATAAAGGAAAATAAATATGTAAATATCTAACATAATAGCTAAGTTGTAATTTAGATAATAAATTCCTAAAGTTTAGCTGACACATCCATACACACCAGTGATTTAAAGTAGCCTAAACTCTAATTTTCTTAATTGACAATTATGCTGTGGTTTTTGGCTTTCAAATTTCATTCTGGGTATTTGGATATTATCATCTTAAATTAAACATTTTCAAACTGTAGAAAGCATTTTCTCACTCTTATTTTACTTAAATTAAGAATATAGATTATAGTGGTTCATTATCAATGATTTAGAGGGGAAAAGTCAAAGGAGATATGATTCCAAGTAATTAAAATTTATACTCCTAAATAACTAGAAATATTTATTTTTATTGTAAGTAACAGCTAAATGTCATTCTAATATAGTAAAAATAAATAATTCACCTTGGTTCTTATTTAGTACTAATCTTGGTGAAGTTACACTTATATAGACAGCTGAAGTTTTAAATGTCAGCAAATGTCTTATCTTCACCTACTAGCTTTTCTTTTTAATTTTAAGAATTGTAGTAAATAATACTTTAATTTTAAGAATATTAATACATATATTTTAATACAAGTATATCTACTTCTTAAGAATCTGGTGTTTTCATTTAGAAATTTGATTTCAGGGATTGCGAAAGTTCATAAAATCTATGTATGTCGCTAGAAATCAATGAAGACATCTATTGTTTCACCCAGAAAAATTAGCTTTGCTTGCATATTGTCCAAGGATATGGAATAGATAATTTTTTAATAACACTTTATCTTATTTTCGTCTGTTTGAGCCTACTCACAGGTTCAACAATTTGGATTACAGTACTACTTACTTCAAAAATTATCAGAAAAATAAGCTATTATGTTGTTTTTCCTTATACCCTTCTTAGAATTTCATAAAATTCTAATTCATTTTTTTTAACTTCTAATGTTTAATGTCATCTTAGACTTGCAGTTATCATTAAAATTGCATTATGGCTCTGACTTAATGTGCATAATCAATTTTGTGGTTATTTTAATGCTACAAACTATTAAGTCAAAACTATCCCCAAATTCAGAAGGTAACTGTTGTTAATACTTGTTTCATTTAAAAATAGGAAAGGAAATATTTTCATCATCCAAATTGAAACGTATGTTCCTTATGCAATTAAAGAAACTATAAATTGATGAAAATTACTTGCTTTTCATCAAAATGTTTATATAATCATTGAGGTAGCAGTTTTTCTTTACTACACATGCATTTAGTTTTATATTGAACATAATATACATTTTGAAGTACAGAAAAGTAGTTGTATATTCAGTCATTTTTATAAAGATTTAGAAATGTGCAATGAGGCTGCCACTGTCATTTATAAAAACACAGGGAAGTGATGATATGCTTAATAATACAAATGAGACCATCATTTATACAAGAGCTTTGAACAAACATTATTTATTCAAGAACTCTCTGTACCTCTGATTGCTAAAATTAAAATTAAAAACTGCAAGAAACCAACTTTAACACAAAACTAGGTGCATTCACATATTTTATTATAAAAGTACTTTACATCTATAGAAAAGTGCCAATATAGACATGTTGTCTCACTTCTTTTTTTAATATATAAGAAAAGAGTCATGAAGAGCATGCATGATGCATTTAATAAAATAAAACTAATTTTCCTTGGTCAGGAGTAATTTTGAACATGAGCACTTTAGGAATGTGCTCTCTCACTTTTGTTTTAATGTTTTAGTTTGCCAGTACTCTGATAGGCAGCAAAGGATACACTGAAAGATTGAAGAAAGAAGTTTAAACACATAGAATATGGTTATACATTCAAAACACAAAATTTAGGTTTACCTTTAATTTAATATCATTACCTTAAAATGCTGTTGAATTTTAGATTTGCTTTGGCTTTTTTTTATTAGACTAATAAATAAAATATTACTATGCCATTTTAATTAAAATGAATTGTTTTCAACACTTTAAATGATAATAAAATGAAAGAAGAAAACATATTCTTTGCAGTTTTAAAATAACATCACATTTTTATCATAAAAATTCAAGAATTTATTTCGAATCATAGGCATTTTTCAAATGACAATAAATTACATATAAAAACTCCAAGTATTTTCAGCAAATAATAAACATAAAAATAATTTAAGTTCAAGAGTGTAACTGATAAAAGGTATAATTTACAAAAATTTCAGTGATTAAAACACTGTTTAATCATTCTTATTTATGATTTTAATTTCTAATTTTTGACATCATTTCTAAACTAGACCACTCCTTTTATCAAACTAGAATGTTTTTCAGTTTCAATACAGCTTACACTAATACAGTGCTAAAGTTCAAAGATTTTTATTTGGAATCTTGCTAATTTCTTGTCAATAAACATAACCAGTCTCTAAAAATTGAAGACAATCTTAAGGCAAATAACCAATGAATTTTTTTCTAAAATGTATTAGTAGAAATCTTTCAATCATTTGTTTAAAGTTACACAATAATAAATTATACTGAATAAAGTGGTAAAATGAAAAAAACCTACATTGTTAAAAGGATATTTTAATTTCTAAGAGCACTTTTTTTCTAGAATTATAGAATTAGGGCAACCGTCTATTGAACAGTGTAGTGCTACTTTCATATCGTCTAGACTAACTATCTGTGCATGCCAAAAATGTACTATAGCTGTCTCCTGACCTCACTTTATATTTTCCAACTTTGAGCCCTTTTTAAGTTTCATCTCTTCTCACACATATTATAACGAAACAAAAAATGTTAAAACTTTGAAACATTACATGTAACATATTGGGGACATTTGACTTAGACTTCTTTTCAATTAGCCTCATTTGGCTTAGTTCTTTCAGGAATATGTACGTTGTCCCTGGGTGGCACAACAGTTAAGCCCTATCACTGACAGAAGGTTGGCAGTATAAATCCATCCAGAGGACCTACTGATCTTTTTACTAATGGTCACAGCCTTGAAAACCTTAGGGAGCCGTTCTACCCCACACTTACGGAGGTGCCATAAGTCAGAATCAACTTGAGTGCAACTAACAGCAACAATTTTGTTTCTGCAGAACATTTCCATCAATTTCTTCCAGTTATTGCATAAATTGGAATTGGGAAACATGTCTGATTTAGTACCATCTATTCTAATCTCTTCATTATCTCATTCTACCTTTTGTGAGTTATTAACTCCACAGTATGCTAAGAGCATATATATAGAATTAAATATAAAAGGACTTTTCCTACTCATACACAGTGCCCTCATATTTACATACCCCTGTTTTAAGAGCAAGGAGCTCTGATGCCTCAGTGGGTGAGGCATTTAGCTGCTAACCAAAGGTTGGTGGTTTGAACCCACCAGCTTTCTCCATGGGAGAAAGATGAGGCAGTCTGCTTCTGTAGAGAT